ATCTCTCTGGCTTCTGAGTGCATGGATGAAAGAGGAACAGCATAACTGCTGTTCATGATTTGCTGTGGAGAAGCTCGGGTCTTCCTGGTGCTAACAGCTGAGGGAGATGTCCCGCGGCTGCCCTCTCCCCACTGCAGTCCGGCCTCACTGGCCTTTCTGCCCTGGAACCCCCCGGCACACACCTGCCTCGGCGCCTTTGCCTGGTGGTCCCCTCACCCCTCCGCCCACCGATCACTCTTTCCTGAAAAGTCCCAAGGCTCCTGTCCTTCCTTAGGTCTCTGCTCCCACACCTCCCACCAGAGAGGGCTTCTGATCCCCTCCATCTAAGCGGCCCCGCCCCCTCCCATCACCCTCCCCCACTTACCCTGCTCCACTTCTCCTCATTGCCACTAGCTCCCCCAACATTTACAAAGTTATTTATCTTTTCTGTAATCGATCTTCACCCCCTAGAATGTCGTCTTGGTGGAAGCAGAACATGTCAGTTTATCTCCCTTCTGTAACCACAGTACTTCGAGCAAGGAACAGAATAAGCACTTAATTTTTAGCACTTAATTTTAAGCGTTTAATTTGTTGAATGAATGGATGGATGGGTGGATGAGATCTTATCTGATGCAGAAGACAGTATCCTCAGTAACTTGCCTTCAGCAAAGACAGAGCCGACTTCAAATATTCTACCTTCCAGATCTCTGAACGTGAGCCAAGAGCAAACTGTTACCAGCCATATGTAAACCTGCATGGCCCCAAACACGCTGTCTACTCAAGCTTCCTTCAGATGGGCTGTTTCTCAACAGATCTCCCTGGGACTCAGAGGCAGTGAGCGGTACCAAGGACAGTGACTTGGGAGGGGGTGGGACACTGGCAACAGACAGCATCGATAGCCACAAGGGTTCCCATAAAATGCATGTCCACGTCCAGCATCCCAGCCATCCCTTCCCCCGCTGCCCAGTCACAATGACCTGACCTGACCTCCTGGGGACAATACTAATTTGATCAAAGAGTGGGAGCTACAGGGAAGCCCAGGGAAGAGGGGCTGGATCCCTCCTGCTGCAAGTGGCATTGGTCAGGAGCAAGTGCTCAGGTATAAGTGAGGATGCGCCAGCTTCTGGGGCCGGTGCAGCTGGACCACATGAGAGAAGTCTTCCCCTTGGCAGAGAGAGCTTTAAGGTAAACTGGACTTTTATAAACTGTCTGCCATTTCTACAGCATTTGCAGCTTCCAAGTGCGTCCACAAAGTCTAGTGTAAACAGAGCATGTTCCCGGCTGTAAGTTCAGGAGTTGAGGCTCCGAGAGGCTATGGAGTTGCCCCAGGGCATGCCCAGCAGTGCAGAGGCTGTGACTGAAGACCCTGCCCTCACTCTGCCACTTCCTGGCTGCAATGCCCTTGACTTTTTTTAGACTCCATTTCACAGCTATAAAACAGGACGAGTAATAGCTGTGTGATGTAGCAGGCAAGAAATCTGGGTTGTTCACTCACTAGGCCAGCCAGTGAGTCTGTAGACAGATTTAATGAGCAGTGTCTTCCACAGGCCCATGCACTGAGGACACAGCCTGCACTCAGCTCTGAACACAGGGGGCTGGCCAGCCCGGTCAAGTTTATTTCCTGTCTCCTCTTCTATGTCCAGGCTCTTTTTCCATATGGCCTGAAGCCTTCTGCTCCTGGACTTGGAAAGAAGGCGGCCCTTCCCCTGGCTGCCTGGGCACTTGCCCTCCTCTCCTCGCCCAGCATCTGATGACAGTGTCCCTCCCCATCAGTCACTGACCACAGTGGACAACAGACCCACTGTGACAGCAGAGCTCAGATTCTAGCAGGTGGGATTTGGAATCAACCTCACTTTCCTAAGCTACACGGGCAGAGAGTTCAAATTGTGTAATGTGTCTGTCAACTGTCTACCCCACTCCCTGGGGAGTCTCGTCCCACCGTTTCCCACAGTAATTTATTTTGGAGGTAATGAGATTAAAGACTCAGGGCAGTTAAGTGCATGGCCCAAGGTGTCTAGATTCTAAAGCCACGTCTGTTGAACGACCTCAGCCTGCCTCTGAAGATAAGTCAGTGACCCCAGCGTTAGAATATACAACAGAATGTGTTTTCCAAAAAGAACCTCAGCATATTTCCAGTCCTACGTGCTCTTGCAGAAACTTGCCACTTCCCCACCAGGAGGTAGAGTCCATTGGCCTCCCTCTGAACCTGGGCAGAGCTTTGTACCTGTCTTGCCAAAGGGCTGCAGCCAAAGTGACACTGTTTGGCTTCTGATGCTGGGTCACAGAAGGCAAGCTGGCCTCCACTTGGATTGCTCTCTCTCCCCTCCACCCCCATCCCTATGGAAATTTAGCCCCTCAAGTCCAGCCACCAGGTGGTAAGGAAGCTCAGGACACATGGAGAAGCCGTATATTAGGTGTTCCGGCCAACAGTCTCAGCTAAGGTCTCAGACTAAAACCAGCAACATGTGAGAGCAAATTAGCCAAATGATCCCTGCTGAGGCCCCAGACATCCTGGAGCAGAAACATCCCTCTGCCCCAGCTGGGCTCCAGAGTCCTCAACACAGCATCCACCATCACAAAAAGTCACTGTTGGTGCCACTGAGTTATAGGATGGTTTGTTATGCAGCTTTAGAGAAATGAGTTAGAAACGCAAATGGCTCAGTCCCACAGCGTCAAGAGGATGCACCTCTCTATCTCCTGACAGCGGCACCAATGCTTCTGCCCTTCTTTGCTCCTGCTGAGCTGTGGGTTAGTGCTCTCTGAGCACACCTGACTCAGAAGAGGATGGGTTTTAATACTATCAGAAACACCCACTCTTGGCACTCAAGAAAAGTCCACATGGATCTTAAGCTAAAGCTGACCTAAGACCTGGCTTCCCAAGATGGAGCCTCAACTGGGAAGCCACATGCATTCCCTTAAACACTCGGAAGAATGTGGAATTAGATCTGATCCAATGGCAATGAAGAGAGAAGACATGACACTTGGGCTTTGAAGCAAACGTCTGATGGTCTCTAAGGAAAAGAGATCTGGGCTCACCTCTGCTTTGCACTCAGGGTCCTTGGTCTGCCTTCCAGGCATCAGCCTCATGGCTGAGGACAAGCTTCCGCTCCATGAAGAGACCTTTCTGTAGTGTCCGACAGTCGAGCGACTGCTCAGGGACTTCTTTTCAGATGCTGGGAACCAGGAAGCAAAGACTGTCAGAGGTGAAGTTAAGAGGGAAACACACGCTATTTCTACAGCTGGCTTGGCTTTCGAAGCACCAGCCAGGGACACAAGCCCAGAGTGCCTGCCTCCAGTAAGGGAAACAGCCCAGGCTACTAGCTTGAATCGCTATGAATTTTGTGATGGTGAAAGACTTAACACAAGTATGTAAGTCATGCTTTGAAAGCAATGACCTCTTTAAAAACAAAATTAACACGTCATTTCTGCTGCTGCATTAGCTAATACGACATGCTGACCTACATGACTTGACACAAGGTGTCAAACCTGGCAGGTGAGTATCAGGGCACGACCTAGGACCCTAAGTTCCAGAGCCCAGGTGAGAGCTCTGACATGGTGGCTCTCCCCTCCGGGAGACTACTAGACTCTGTTTGCTTGGTTGGCACCTCTAGCCTCCCTTCCACCCAAGATGCAAAGCAGCATTCATTCTTTGTGAGCAAAGATTCAGGAGGTTTCAGTGATGTAAATCCCACCCACCAAAGGGATGAGAGAGAAGGTCTAGTGTAAAAGGCTCTGGGCCCCGACTGGAACCTGGGGGAAGCCTGGCTCTGTGAGACCCAGAACTTCTGTTCCCTGGAGCCATGTGGATAGAGACCTAGATAGTGCTGCCAGGCCTTGAGCATCGTCTCCTCCCAGAGTGGCGTGACCTCTTCAATCTTCACTTCGCTGTCCCCAGGTTTCACAGAGAGATCAATCTTGAAGGTGTCCTCCAGCTCCTGCCGCCTCTGGGCCACGAGCTGCTGCCAGAGGGTCCGCACTGTCTTCTGGATGTTGTGCTGGACTAATGGAGACAGTACATTGCACAATCAGGACAGTCTCAGTGCTTCTCCCAGAGAAAGCCAGGAGATGGCGTCTCGTGGTTGCTTTTACGTGCACCCTTCTTGAACATCACCAGGCTTTGCAAACTCCATCCAGAGAGCAGTCAGTATGCAGAGCCACATGGCTGATAACAATGCTACCAACATCCTTGTGAGCAGGCCTCTCCCCACCCTCCACAACTGAGTCCTGCCTGCCTCATATGTCCAGAGCTGGGGAACATGATGGATGGGCTCAGTGAGTCTCTTTCTCTCACCCCTAACTCTGTTAGATATCAAAGAGATACCCTGCCTAAGCTCTAGGTAACCAAATAGCTCCCGCCAAACAGCTCCTTCCAACCTTGACTTCTATGCTGGCCCTTCAGGGCAATGGACACTGAACTCAAGACTGTGCCCAGGGTAACAGACACTGAACCCAAGACTCTGTCCTCTCTCCTGGCCCTGAATCATGCTTCCAACTAGCTACCCATCTTAGTGTCCTGGATTAGCAGAGATATGGACAAATCTACCAAGCCAGGTCTACCTGCTATTCCCCCACAAATATAATCCCTGAACTGTGCCGAAATTCCTTCTGATCTTGGACCACTGGGTCCCCTCTTTGGTACCAGTCTGTTTTTCTCATCCTAGGGGGATGGACATGGCTTAGTCCACTCTACTAGCTAAATCCCAAAATGCAAACGTTCATGTTGTAATTAAGACTGTGTCAGAGTAACCTTTAAACTCACAAGGTTCTTGACCACTGGCTTTGGGCACCTATTGAACCAGAAAACAAGGGCCTTTGTTACCATCTGGTATCACAAGATAAGTGGCACAGTCAGCAAACCAAAGTTGTGGGAAAAGGTCTGCAGAGGCTTCCTGGATCCAGAGGGAGCAACCTTTCAGACACATGGATCTGACTCACAAATTGCCAATCCCTTTAACTTGATTTGATATTTTCAAATCCAAGAATAATCTCCATTAAGCCAAAAATCTCATAAGGTAATGGGTTTCTTTACTCCATCCCCATTGTCTAGAGAGGAAGGCTGAGAGGGAGCTAGGTGATAGCCTTGGGCTGAGGGAGATGGCGTGCCAGTCTGCACAGCTAGTGGTCCAAAGCAAAATGCAAGAGATCACTTGAGAAGTTAAATCAACTGACAGTGAGGTCCTCTGGGATTTCAGTTACTACGTCAAGTTCTTAGTCTAACCAAGTCCCACAGAGCTTTCCCTTCATCTACCCACCCATTCGTTCTAATACACAAAGATCACCCCGATTTTCTATCTCTATCAGGTTAACTTGCAGTATTACTACACTATCCTGGGATTTCCTAGGGCCTCTTCTGGCCTTTAAGAATCTCCTTGGTAGTATAGGCTTCCTTATCTTAGGAAGGATAAACGGAAGAATGCAACCCTAGCAGTTGCCACTATCCATCTACTCCCCCCCAAAAAACCAACAAGTAAAATATACCATCGGTCAAACTTGGGAAGTCTTCCCCTGGTCTTTCTCTCACTTCTTCATTTGGAAAAGAAAGACTTGGTGATAAGGAGTCATTCTGGGCTTGGGTTCCAATCCAAATCCTTCTGGATAACTAGCAGACAAGAGATTGTTCACTGTAAACTCCAGTTCCTTTGGGATCATTTCATCGTTCTGTATTACAAGTGATCATCCTGCCCACTCAGTACCCATCAATATGAAAGAAACTTGTCTAATGATTAGTTGTCTAAGGACAACTTCCATGACCGATATTATACAGAAGGATTCTGGAAAATAAGAAAAACATCTTATTTTTATTCCTATCCAACCCATGTTCCGAACAGGCCCCCTCAACACTCTCCTGGTTTCTCCATCATGAAAATTGGTCATTTCTTTTTGCAGACTCCCAAAACAATGAACTCTGCCTTCGTTTGGCACTGATCTCACCCATGTGAAATGGGGCCAGGGCCAACTTCATGGGCCTGCGACTTGTGCAGTTGTACACGGTCAGCACTCAGAAGGACCCCATGCTTGGGCTCTGCAGTCACCATCCTGAAATTCTCTGGATTTTTTGAACAAAGGCCCCACATTTGTATTCTGCTGCAACCTTGCACATCATACAGATGGTTCTGAGTGGGGCACAGTAGTTTACATAGTAGGTTCCCCACAGACCATATGCTTCTGAGCTCCTGGTCATGTTCATGTCCACCTGCCCTCTTCTCTGGGTCCCTCACTCAACAAAGCAGACTAGATACGCAGTACATGTCTGTGGACTGAACCAAAAGTGATAAACAAGGAAATGAAAAAACAGCAGCATATGAGAATGTCCATTTTTGAAATTCCTAGAATAAAATCCCTTTAGATTTTGGAGGCCATTTTGCTATATACAGGGATTTGCGGAGGGCAGAATTTCATCACACAAATCAGTTGGCTTTCTGTTCCTCTTATCTGTGCTTCCAGTATGGAGAGGGTCTAATTCTTGAAATGCAGAAAAGAAAGAAGAACTTCCCCAATTCAGTCCGTACACTGAAAATGGATTCTTTTATTTCGAACACATAAAAAGGCAAGGACCTCCTCTGGGCTAGGAGCATTCTCCTATGCTTCTCAGAGCGTTTAAGACCTGCCAGCTCTTGAGTTTTGCTCAACAGGATTCGGGGAATTTTTTTTTGTCAAGTCATCAGACACAGTTTGTGCTGGGGTAAATAAAACTGAGAACAAGTGTAATATCCCACAGTCCTTCCTCTACGCTCAACACGGTGCTGTTAATAAGAGCTAATGCTCTCAGGCAGTGTGATGCCACGGCACCCGGTGATATGTATATACTGCCACACAGAGGGAGAGAAAAAAATTCACAAAAAGATCTCACACGTCTTCGAAATTTGGACTTCAAAAAAAGGATTTCAACAAGCTTAATTTAATTTCTTACTAGTATTTCTTACACAAGGGTACTCACGGATGTCATTTAATGTCACAAATTGTGTGCATGTTTTTTTCTTTCTACAAGCAAAATTATCCCTGGCTTGCGTGATATAATTTATTATATATTTCCCCCATTCTAAGAGGGCATTTATTAAATATTTGTATTTCTGAAATCTGGCCGCGTCATAAAATCAATGTGTATATTTAACGCTGGCATTTTCTGCCCCTTAATGAATAGATGAAGTTATCTTACAACCTGAGAATTATGAAAATAGGGTAAATTATTATTTCATGATCATTCTAGCTACTCAGTGACGTGGCCAGGTTTGAGGATGTAACTTAACCATTTTATCAAACACTGCATATAATTTGGACAACCAGATCAACAAAAGGATTGTATCATTCATAACTGATGAACTTTAATCAAGTGTCCCTCTAAGGCTTTCTCTCCTGCATCGACCACTGGTGGGCAAGGAAACAAGTGGGCAGCTCTCACCTTCTCGCACTGAGCAGCAGAAGACAATGCATGAGGCATAGGAAGAAGCTGGCGTTGGAATTATATGTGGCAAAGACAATGTCCCAGTGTTCCTGTAGAAAGCCCAGGATGGTGAGAAGGCTGAGGCATTCGGAGAGGGACTGCTGGGGCTTGGAGAGGCAATAAAGAATGACTTTGTTTAAACTGCTGTATAAAGCACTGATGACAGTGTCCCTCTGAGAAGAGGCGTTCTCGATGACCTGTGCCATAAAACAAACACACACACATAGACTTGTGAACACTAAAGCTTAGATACCGACCCAGTTAACTGCAAATGATACAATCTCAGATTTTTTTTTCTGTATTTCAAAAAGTGACATGATTTTGAAATCAAATAGGACCATTTTCTCTATCTTGGAGCTTCTATTTAAGTGAATAATCAATAAAGGGAATTCAACCATTTGGATTTACCAAAAATTGGTGTAAAAAAATTGAAAGTTTACTGCAACCGTATTACGGAAAATAGATATGGGAACCAGAGATTTCTAAAATACGGGTAACATAGTTGACATTCAGTTTATAAGAACATGCTATTAGTAGTGTCTAATTTTTTAAAAATGTTATTAACTAGTAATGGTATAGATTACTATTAATAGTATTATCAGTATTATCAGTATTATAGATTGTTACAATAGTCAAGTTATCATGCTGAGTGCTTTGCATATATTTGCATATATTTACATATATAGCCTCATTTAAACATCATAACAACATCGTGAAGTAGACTCTAAGATTATCCCACATTATGGATAAGAAGGCTGAGGGTCTGCAAGGTTAGGTGGTCAGTGAGAGTCAAAGCCACACAGGACACTTGAGCCATGCTCTTAACCACCATATCATCTAAAGGAGATGTGATGGGGGAGGGCATAGCTCAAGTGGTAGAGCGCATGCTTAGCATGCCTGAGGTCCTGGGTTCAATCCCCAGCACCTGCTCCAAATGGAAATAAATGAATAAACCTAATTGTCTTCCCCTCATAAAACAAACAAAACAAGCAAAACGTGGACTTTGATAAAGGAGATGTGAGTCCAGTGAATTTTAGTACATGAGAGATTTAGAGGGGGAAGGTAGAAGATCCTGATTTGTAGTCTTACCACTGAACTCACCCATCTGTTTGGCTTCATTGAAAAAGAATCCATAGAAAAAAAATACAAATTCTTCAGTCTATTAGAGAGGTCATTTGTTAGTTATAGATTGCTCTCTTTGAACTTCATAGGTAACAAGTGTTTATACTACTGAAGTTGAGTTTTATTTATATCTGCTGGAATTTGGGGTTCATGTTTTGATCATCATCCTCTCCCGCTCCTCAGGTGGGTCACATCTTTCAGGGTGAGGTTAAGAGCTGTGAGAGGCACAGACAGCAAGCAGGAGAGAAGAATGGCAGATGTGGGCAGAGGAGAGCCCTTGGGCCTGGTACCCCCTCCGAGGACACATCAGCCCCACAGGCACCCACTCTTTGATATCAGCTCCGAGTATTTGCTGTCACCACTGGGGAGCTGCTATGGACTGAATATTTGAGTCCCTCTAAAATTCATTTGCTGAAACCCCAGTGTGATGGTATTTGGAGATGAGGTCTCTGGAGGTGATCAGGTCAAGAGGATGGAGCCCTCAACAACGGGATTAGTGCCCTTATAGGAGAAGACAAGTGAGAGCTAGCTTCCTCTCTCTCCATCATGGAGGATACAATGAGAAGATGACCATCTCTTAGCCCAGAAAGAGAGCCTTCAGTGGACACCAGATCTGCTGGCACCTTGATCTTGGACTCCCAGCCTCTAGAACTTGAGAAATAAATGTTTGCTGCTAAGTCGCTTACTCTATGGTATTTTGTATCAGCAGCCCAAACGCACTCAGACAGGAACTGAGTGGCCACTCTCATTCTCAACTCAACCTCCCAAGAATCTGACTTCAATCCCCTCAGAGCTGACAAGGGGTATTTCTCCTGCTCACATTTATTCTTGAAGAAGCCTCTGAACACATTCTTTTCAGGTTGCCCAGAACTGCACATCCTCCAGTCTGCCTATCACTCTAGGAATTGAGCCGAGGCCCAGTCCTGGTGTCTGCAGGAGACTCCACAGATGCAAGGGTGCTGGGGACACTGATGTCACTGTCTCTGATGCCTAAAGAGGAAGGAGAGGGACTGTCCTGGATTCTACTGCAGAGAACACACCAAGAGCTGCTGGCAGGAGTTGCTGGAGGCAGATTTCAGCCTGGCGAGAGAAGGTGCTTTCCAGCAATCGGGTGTTCTGCTGACTGGAACCCCTCATACCACAGAGACCTCCTCACACAAAGAGGGTTCGAGGAAAGAATGAATGGCCACTTGTCAGGAAAGATTTCCAGAATGAAATGGGAGGCAGGGACCAAAAAAAAGGGTTCAATTCTAGAATTCTGAGATTGTATGACTGTGTGTGTGTGTGTGTACGTGTACAATAAAGAACATGTACACAGGTGCACATACGCACACACATATTTACATCTCAGGGTATATCTACAAGCATGTATTTGCATGTGTGGGTATGTATCTCCATCTGTCTGGGGAGAGAGAGAGATGGAGAGCACATGTAAGAAAAACAGGACCAGGTGAAAACAGACTCTTGCCTTGATTTCTGGAAGGTCCACATATGACAAATAGAGGTGGATACTAAAGAAGAATATGAAATAGGCCTTTTGGAGATAAAGATCCTTTTGGCCCTTTGTTGGTGAGGAATAACAATAGTTAAGATTAAACCAATATTCACCATAAAACCCCAAAGGGCAGGCGGGGTGTTAAGGTCCAGCAGGGGATAGAGCTCAGGTGACCGTGCAGGGGCTGCGGCTCCTGATCACTGAGACAGATCTCAGGCAGCCAAAGGTGAGACCCTTGCGGGGCAGGCAACAGCACAGGAGTTAGCTGGGCCGTAAAGGTCCACCTCCTGCCTCCCACCCATCTCAGATTCTATTTCCAGGAAGGTGGCAGGTCAATCTGGACCAAGTGGACAGCAGCCAGCAGTGCGTCACACAGAAACCTGGTGAGTCAGCAGAAGCCTCACCACCATGGCCAACCTGGGGTCTTACCACCATGATGTGCTCCGTGATGAAGAGAAGGATGTGTCTGGGGTCTGCTGAGAACATCCCGCTGTACAGCTTCTCCACCAGCTTCTGGGTAAAGTGGGAGATGCTGGCAAGTGAAGGAGCAGTGGCAGCTTCTGCATTCGGCGGAGGCTCTCTGCTGCCTGGGGGGTTGCGGGAGGGTGACAGAGCCAGGCTGAGAAATCAGGTTTGAACTGCCTTTTCTCCACAACAGTTTCCAAGCCCCTCTTGGTAGCCAGCCACAACTCACTCACCTCTGTATGGCCCACTACAACCGTCTGTATGTGACCTGTTGTTCCAAAAATGGGGTAGGTGCCCACTGAACACATATTTTTTCAAAGCAAACTGATCTTGAACAATCTATTCAGGGATATAAACCAAGTGGGGAGGAGGCACTGCTTCCAGTGGCCATTTGGAAGAAGAGAGGATGAGAATGTAAGGCACAGGGTAATGGGACGGCTGTCGTGATGACCCACAGCCCCCAGTTACATGGGGCAGAGGGTGAAGCTGTAATGTCAATCAACCATCTGGGCTCACCTTCACGGCAGGCACTGTGCTCACATATGGATGCGATGGTCTCAGCTAATTCTGTTAACGACCCTCTAAGGGTCCTCATTCACAAGGTCAGGCACCCACCCGGAGTAGCACCACCATCCAGTGACAGAGCCACACTCAGAACTGGGCTCCCAAGCCCACCCTCTTCCCTGCTCCTCTACCCTACCACACTCAGACAATTCAGAAAGACCAAAAGTCAGGGTTCACACATTGTGGGGCAAGGAGTCCAGAAGATGAATCACATCACTGAGGATTCCGTGCCTCAGAAACTACAGAAAAGACTTTTGTTTACTCTTATCTGGCAGGTACAGCTGCCCCGGAACCAAATATTTCAAATGAAATTTCAAT